TGGATGCAGCTGCGAAGGTTGCTGCAGCTTCGCACCCCAGGGCCTCGGCTGATGAGCCTGCTGCGCTCGACCGTGACTTTGTTGCTAGGGCTGTCGGCGCCCTGGCGGCACGCCTGATGCCGCTTTGGCCTGGACTGCAGCTCGACGGTGACACGCCCTTCGTGCACGCTGGTGCTAAAGGTCGCGAGACCTCTCGGCCGCACCAGCGGCAGTAGATAGGGTCATCTTGGAAGTGCCGAGTCTGCCTGCGAGCGACTACAGGAGGTCGACCTCCTGCGCAGTTGGTTGCCAACCCGCATGCTCGCCCTGCTGGCGCGCGCCCCCCGCCCCCTGGCGGAGTGCGTTCCGAGGTCAGCAGAGTGGACCCAGCCAAGCTAGTCGCGCTCAATCACTCTTGCATCTCGCGCACAGCTGTCACGGCCAAGCCCGCGACTTGCTGGGCCCATGCCATCGTGGCCCGCGCAGTGCGTGCGCTAGATTCGGGCGGGCGAAAATCTGCAGAGGCCCCCGCCCCAAAGCCGCTCACCTCACGGTGGAACGTGGCCCTTGGGAGAGCTGGGACTCGGCAGAGTCACCAGGCATGGAGGCGGAGGAGGTCGCTGTTGAGCCGGGGGAAGGAGGAGTTGTTCACGCCTCGTGTGGAGGCTCATCTCTTGCAAGGAGGCCCTCTGCTCACCCCATTTTTCGGCAGGGGATGGCCGCGGTCAACCAGCCTCCTGCGGCGGCGGCGGGGGCGGTAGGGGAGGAGCTCGGCGAGCACCCCGAAGGCCGCCCCCCCCAGGCCCTGCGCACCCCCGCCGGGCGGGGGAAGGAGGAGACCCCCCCCCCCCGCCCCTCGCGCGTAGGCTCATCTCCCACAGGAAGGCCCGCGGTGCACCTTCCTGCTAGTCCAGGGCTGGCAGCGGCGAGCCAGCCTCTGCCAACCCGCACCTCTCAAGCTCTGCATGGCAGGGCGTCGGCCGTGCCCGCTTGCAGCCCGAGGGAGGTGGGGATTGTTGTCCGGTCTCCGTCGGGGGGGGGGGAGTTACATCCGATTCGAGCTGCCACCGACCTTTCGACGGGAGGAGCGGCTTCTCGAATGTCGCCGCTCCGCCCCGCCGCAACGCCAGCGGGGTCGTCTCCCGCGCAGCGCCCCAGGCCGCTCTGGCCCAGGAGGTGGCTGCCTCTCGCGAGGAGGACACACAGGTCATGCCTCGGGTCGGAGAGAGGAGCGACGACTCGGACTGAGCAGGTCTTTGTGGGCAGGGTGCTCCCTTACTCCACCTGTTCATTTCTCGAGGCCCTTTTTGGGCCATGCGCAGGTTGTTTCCCTCCGAGGCCTGCGTTTTCTTTTTTGTTTGGAGGTGAAGGGGCCTGTTGCGTCCTCCTCCACCTCCTCCTCCACTTCCTCCTCTTTCTCCTCCTCCTCCTTCTCCTCCTCCTCCTCCTCCTAGAAAATCTGGACGGTGCATGGCCTCACGCAGTGTTCTCGGCCCTCCGACTTCGACGACTGGGACCACCTGCCCGAGATGTCCGTGGCCATGCTGCGGCTTGTCTGCCTGAAGTTCAAGGCGAAGACTGCTGTGGGTCAGTCGGGGATTGCTCCTCGAGCGTTGTGGCACCTCTCGGACGCAGGTCTCATCGCGCTGTCAAAGTTGTTTCAACGGTGCGAGATTTTGGGATTCTGGCCAGACAATCGCATATTCACCACGCTGGTCAGGCTGCCGAAGGAAGGAGGCGGGTCTCGTCTCATCGCCTTGGTCCAGACGCTGGTTCGCGTGTGGGCTAAGGCCCGCAGCTCCATCAGTCGGCAGCGGGTTGCTCAGACAGACCTTCGTGATGTCTGGGGAGCTGGAGGCGTTGGTCGCACTTCCTCGGCGGCGGCGTTCGAGCATAACCTGATGGTGGAGGTCGCGTCGCTGCTTGGCTGGCACACGGCGACGGCGGCGGTGGACGCGTGGAAGGCCTACGAGTCCGTCAGCCCTGGCGAGCTGATCTGTGAGGCCCGCCACCATGGTTTCCCTCTTCGGCTGGCCTGGATGGTGATCGAATACCATCGCCAGCCGAGGGTACTGAAGGCTTTCACTTCCTATTCAGAGGCCTTTGTATCCTGGCAGGGCATGCTTGCAGGCTGTGCCCATTCTACCTCCCTCCTCACGCTCCTCACCCTGCGCTCTGTGCGGCGTGTCCGAGCGAGTGGCGTCGTGCCTCGCGCCTTGGTCGATGACCTCACGATTCAGTGGGTTGGGGTGGAGGCGGGTGGGATCTCTAAACTTTTTACTGCGCTGGCCAACTTTAAAGCTGATGTTAAACCTCTTGGGATCGTTCTCCAGGACTCGGCCTCGGGGAAGTCTGGCTACGTGGTGGCCAATCGTAAGGTCCTGCGGGCCTCGAAACCCTGGGCCCGAGCGGTTCGGCTGGAAGCCAAGCGTAACATGCGTAACCTTGGTCACGAGCTCTCTGGGCGTGAGCGCAGGCGGCCGCTCACCCGACAGAGAATCGCTAAGCTTGGTCGTCGCATGAAGCGTGTTTATCCTCTGCAGAAGGTGGCGGGGGCTCGTGTGTCCGTCCTGTGGCGCGCCGGCCTGCTTCCAGGTGCTAGTCATTGCTGCGCAGTTTCTGGGACCACGGGCGCCGAACTTCGGAAGTTGAGAGCTGCTGCGGGGGCTTTGGTTGGCGCCAAGGGTCGTGGGGGGTCCCTGACGGTCTACTTGGCGTCTCAGTCGGATCCGTGGTGTGACCCGATTTTTGAAGCCACGATCGCCCCAGTCAAACACTACGCCCAGGTTGTTTGGATGCAGACTGCGTCCCTGGGTACTCTCGAGAGGGCCTGGAGGGCCCTGGCCGAAAAGCGGGGTCAGAAATTCTCCTGGCTCCATGCCTCGGGCCCGCTTTCGGTGGTGGCGCTGTCTCTCCTTCGTGTTGACTGGTGCATGGAGTCGTCTGTGCTGATCCGTTCCGATCAGGGAATGGTGTACTCTTTGCTACAGATTGATCCGCAGCATTTAATCAAGTTGCTTCGTGCTGGCATCCAGCGCTGGCAGATGCGTCGCGTCCAGGCTCATTTTCCTGGTTTCCCCGCGGACGCCGAGTTGTGGCCCCGTGGGATCCGCGCCTGTGCTGGGTCCAAGTGGGCCGCGCTCAAAAACCCCAGGTCGGCTGGAATCCTTCGGTCTCTCTGGTCTGACTCCTGGTGGCCCCAGGCCAAGTTGCATGACAAAGGGTTCGCCCCCGATCCTAAGTGTATGGGGCTGCGGAGCGGACAGAGAGACGTGTGGTCACCTGTTGCTCGAGTGCCCTGTGCTGCGTGAGCAGCTGTTGGAATTTGAAGATGAAGTTCCGATTTCTGAGTCCCTGGCCAAAACTCGTGATAGGTTTCTGGACCAGGGGCCTGTTGGGCGCCCAGGGGCCGCTCTGGGCCCTGAGAGTTTTGAGTTGTCGGTTGGGCTCCCGTTGTTCCCGATGAGACCTCCTGACCCTCCGCGTGACCCGCCGATTTTTTGGTGGGGGGATTGGGAATCTGATCCCTCGCAGTGGTCCAATGCTGCATTCACGGACGGGTCGGGCATGTGGTCGTCTCAACCAGAGATTAGGGCGTGTGGCTGGGGCGTTGTCCAGCTGAGCGCGTCGGGCACGCCACTGAGAGCGTGCTATGGCAGGCTCGGGGGCGCCAGTCAGACGGTTGGCGAGGCCGAGCGGGTCGCCTATTTGCGGGCGGTGGAAAAAATCCCGTCGCTGCAGGTCATAGTCACTGATCTTTTGGGCCTGGCCAATGAAGCTCAGGAGTGGAGCGCGGAGTCTGAAGGTCCAGGGGCTGAGCATGCCGCTGTGCGGCGGCAGATTCGCGCGGCGGTCGTGCGTCGCGGAGGGGTCCCGCCCACCACTCATTGGTGTCTTGCCCATAGGGACCTGTCGGACGCGGCCCTGGCGACCCCTGGATCTGGCCCGCCTTTTTTGTACGTCCTGGGAAATGCCTGGGCTGATTTCTTTGCCAAGGCTGGTGCTGCCAGCCAGATGGTTGGACAGGGCACGGCTGATCTGTTTCGGATCGCGCTCGAGGAGTGCCAGGAGTTCGCCAAATTTCTGGCTTGGGCTGGGGGTCGGGCCATTGATCTGGGGCTTGGGGCGTCGTCGTTGTCGGAGGGAGCCGCTCGTTCTCGTCCGAGGCCTGGCCCCCGCCCGACCCCCGTTGAAATTTTAGAGCCTGGTGAGCCCCTCTCGTGCCACAGCATGTATAGGAGCGACGCCGCCCAGGAATGGAGATGCAGGCGGTGTGGAGTCGCCACCAGGACTGCAGCTGGTCTCCGCGCCCTCAGGTCCTGCTCGGCGCGCTGCACGCCGACCGAGGTGCAGCGCTGGCAGGCCGCCCGCGCTTTCTCTCGCTGCTCCGATTGGAGGCCGACCTCCGATGCGGTCCACGTCGCCCTGGAGGCGGCGGCAAGGGTCCTTGAGACGGGCCCCACCTGGGCGCCGAGCTCTGGGGAGGGCTCTGGGGCTCGGCGTTTTGCCGACTTGGCCCTGTTCCGCGACCTCGGCCATCGGATGGCTGAGGCGGGTGCGTACGTCTTCTGTGAGCGGTGTGCGTGCTTCGCTGGGGAGTCTGGGAGGGTGCTTGGTCTCAAAGCCCCTTGTCAGGGACCTTCGGAGGTCCCCAAGACTCTCAGCGCTCAGAAGACCCGCCTCCAGAGGTTGAGGAGTGGGCTGCCGCCTAGATAGCGGCTGAGGGTCCAGGGTCCTGGCTGATACCGATCTGGGGCCCTCGAGTTTTTGTTAATTTATTCGGTGTAGAGTGGGTTCGGGCGACTTGGACTCACCCTCTACTGGCGTTCTCCTCCTCCTCCTCCTCCTCCTCCTCCTCCTCCTCCTCCTCCTCCCCCTCCTCCTCCTTTTCCTCCTCCTCCTCCTTCTCCTCCTCCTCCTCCTCCTCCGCCTCTGCCCCCTCCGTCTCCGCCTCCGCCTCCTCCTCCTCCTCCTCCTCCTCCTCCTCCTCCTCCTCCTCCTCCTCCTCCTCCTCCTTCGAGGAGGCGGAACAGGCCCGCGCACGCTGCGGCGACGCACGCCTGGAGGCGGACCGCCTGGCCGCGCAGGCGCCCTGCCCAGCGGGGACTGCCCGCCCGTAGCGCCGAGGGGCCCACGGCGACGACGACGACGACGACGACGACGACGACGACGACGACGACGACGACGTCGACGACGACGACGACGACGTCGACGACGTCGACGACGACGTCGACCACGCTGCCGACCCTTGAGATCCACCAGGCGTTTTCGCCCAGTTTCGGGCCCTGGGACTGTCACAAATCTAGCCGGTCCAAAACTTCCGCGGACATATTGGATCTATGAGGGCTCTGGTTGCGATTGCCCTCCATGTTTTCATTGTTCGCATCGTCGGATCCAACGTGCAATCCCGTTCACCATGGCATCTTCGCGTTGGAAAAAATGGCGGGAGGTTCTTGGAGATGTTCTGTTTTGGGGAGGCTCTTGCGCCGGGCCCCGAGTCCGTCAAAAAACCGAGATGAAAAGCCGGCCCCATGGAACGGTTCCAGACCTCCGGGTGTCCACATCGTGAGGAAAACACGACGTCGGATGTTGAGGTGCGATGTCAACCACGGCCTCGACGACGACGCCGACGACGAGGCGGCGAAGCGGCGGCGACGGCGACGACGAAGCCGAGGCGATTGCGACGACGATTACGAGGCGGCGAAGCGGCGATGGTGACGCCGAGGAGGACGACGGCGGCGGCGGCGAGGACGACGATGGCGGCGGCGGCGGTGAGGAGGAGGGAGAGGGAGGATCTCGGTGTGCTTGCCCTCTCCTCGTGCGCCCTCGGAGGCAGCGCCCGTCCGCCGCGGATCGGGCGCGGCTCCAGAAAGGCCAGCCAGGACGGACCCCAGCAGGGGGCCTTCACGGGGGAAGGCCCGCAGGCGGCGGCGGCGGCCCGCCGGCCCGC